TCTAATTGCCCTCTGGATCAATTGCGATTCTTCACCAGAAAGCAATCTACAAAAAAAGAGCCTGTAGTTTCTTCAAAAATAATCTGCTGGTTCCTAGAACTGATCTACCTGTTTCCCTAGCTCAACTGGAGCTTCAGTCAGTTTGGGTAGTTCTTGTACTAGTAATTGTAGTTTTATTATTGAATTTCAAAATTATATATTATGTAAGCCGTCCTGAGCACCTGCGCAGAAGGACAGGATAGAAATTCTTCTAATAAATAATAAATAAATAATAGGATTTGGATGTCCTCGCACTTTAGGACCAATTGACGAGACCCCCCCCCCATAAGTCATGGCTTAATTTTTCCTGTAAGGTGGGATTCCCATTCTTCAAGTCCTGAACCTCCTTAGGGCCTTCAGGGCATGAGGGAGTGGTTTCCAAGGTCCCTACATTCTTCCTATGGTATGGTGGTAAATTATCTAAGGGATCCCATGATTTTAAGGACATCAGATTGGTTGAAACTGAGGCAGGCAGCCAGCCGCCCCCATCCCTAGATTCCTCAGTCCCAGATTTGGTTTGATTTATTGTCAGACCTAAGTTCCAGCATATTGGGCTGGGGCTGGGGGTCATCAGACCCATATTGGAGCCAGACGGATCCCCTGACTAGAGTATATTCTGGCCATACAAATACACAGTAGTTTTCCATTTTTCCTTTTCCATTCCCCTAACCTGGGGAAGCACATCCCAGAACTTTAACATCCTCCCCAGCAGAGTCCAATCTGGGATGCTGGGAACTCTTCCTCATTCCTTTCCTTTAGGGTTGTCCCCCTTTCTTAGACCCTCTATTCCCCATCCCTTTCCCTTGGGTGAGAAAGGTCCAGGCGTGTCCATCAGGGCTTCCTCCATTCCTCTGAGTAAACCCTCCAATACCACCAGTCCCACTGGTGTCCTTAGAAGTCTCTGCTGCCTTGATTCAATGTGTCTTGGGTCTCTGATCGCCCTCGTATCAGCCAGGGAGCTGCCCATGGGTCTGCTACACTTAGTAGGGTGCTCCTTCCCACTGCCACCTACCAATCGAGCCAATGATGGATCCAGGCAGATCCTGGATGAGCCTCCAAGTTGTTAGTAACACTCTTTTCTTTCCCTCAGAAAAGACAATGCACCTGGCAACAGAGAGTTCTTTTATTTTGAGGGGTTTCCTTCCCCTTTCCAACACCCAGAGCACATGTTCACATCCCATATTTATACCCTTTTCCCGTTCACTCTTCCCTCTTCCTCTCTCTCATTTACTGAGGTATCGGGTGGTTACAGTCCTTCCATCTGCCTATTTCGTGTTGCTCCAATACCTGTTCTGCCCTCCCCATTCATACCTCCCATGTGCTTTATAATGAGCTTATTTTCCATTCACGGTGTGTTAGTTAATATTGATGAGGTTATTCAGCAATCGTACTGCAATTTTAGAGCTATTTTATGTCCCCCTGAACAAGAAACACCTTGGGAGGCTCAGGTGAGCTTGCCTGCATAAGGAATAAATTGTTATCTACCCTTCTTTTTACAGGAAGACCGGTGGACCTGTACATTCCCATCCTGCTCTCTGTCAACAATGTGATTTCCGATTTGCTTGTGGGGCATCATTTTTCCGAGGAAAGCAAAGTTTTTCACTGCCTAAGCAGATACATTAAGGTCTCAGGAACATTGATGAACTCCGTTTGGACCAGAGTAAGGAAGCGTTTATTTTGATGCTGTATTTTCTACCTCAGCGTTTCCATGCCAGTTTTCTCCAAGGAGCTCAGGGCAAAGCACAGCCTCCCTCTCCCTTCTCTTTCATCCCTGCAGCAGCCCTGTGAGGTAGGCCAGGCCAAGCGTGTCAGGGCCTCGGTAAACAAACAGAGATGCTCAAAGTTAAATAAAAAGCAATGGTTTCATTGGAGCGGCACTACAGAAACACCCCAGTGTGCGACCGTGTCCATAAAAAGCAGGTCTCAAGGCACGGCTCATTTGGCAGTCCACCAGAAATTTATGCGTGCCTCAAAGTGTAGTAGAAAAGCAAAACTGAACACAGCTCTTTTCCCAGGTTAGCCATTCTGCAGTGTTTGCATAGATGAGCCTTGCCACGAAGAGCAATATGTACCTGATCAAGGGTCAAAGCTGCAGCATGCAGGCATGACCAAAGCCACCTCTCTCTCCTGTGTTACACAGTTCCTGTAATTCTGGCCTAATCCTTTCCTTTCACTGCTTCCAACAAGGGTCAGTTACTGGCCCACAATTGCCCAGCAGGCTTCATGGCCAAGTGGGACTGGAACCCGGCTCTTCCAGGTCCTGGTGGAAAAGGCCCACCATCACACCTCATGGGCTCGCAGACTGAATTTCATGTTGCCGTCAGGCACCTCTCTTTTGCTTGGTTCCGAACTGCCATCCCGATCATGTGGCCTGAATTCCTGCATCCTTTGCCTCCGCAGTCTTCAAGGTGAGCCTCTTGCACCGCCATCATTCCCCCACTTCAACTGACGGTTTTCAGCAGTCCACTCTCTGGTTTTCTGTATCATCTGGCCTGGCCAGGTTCAGGGTCTGTCATGCAAAGCACAAACCTGCTTGGCAACTCCAAAAAGCACGGCCCTCTCCTTGCACATGCCCAAGCCCACGATGGACCAACACGGGCAGGCCCACAGCCGAGCTGAAGTGCAGGAACCCTCAGATCAGGCCTCCCAAAACCTTATAGGAATCTCCCCTTCTTCTTTTCTGACCTCGATGTGAATGTCCCCTACCTTGTTTGAGTCACCTGCCTTGCAAGCGCTTGACTTTTCTCTCCCTGTGAAACTGACTTCCCCTGTCCCTGCATGTACATCCAAATGCTGGTTAGCTCAGGAAGTTCCCCCTTCTTTGTGGAAGCTGTTGAGTGTGGATCACTTGGAATTCACCAAAGACACAGCACTGCCAGCATTAAGAGGTGTAATAAGAGGAATGTTTTCAAGTTTGAACGCACAGCTGGGAGTTGTACACCTTACTGGGCAACTCCGTGCATTAGGACTAGGCCACGAGTCTTGCAGATCTCAATTGCCTTGGGCCTTGGTTCTTCCATGCAGGTCTATGAAGCCTTTCCTTGGCTGATGAAACTCATAGGCCCTTTTCTGAGCAGATGGTCGGCAGCGGTGGCTCAGTGGAAGGAGCTAAAAAGGCTCATTGAGGAAGAGGTTGTGCACCATAAGAGCACCTGGTCGCCCAAAGAGCCCCAGGGCTTCGTTGATGCTTACCTTGCTCTGATTGAGAAAGTAAGTACCAATAGAATGCTCCCACTTCCCAAGTAAAGCGATCACCAGCTTCGCCTGCATGATGCGAAAACCTGGGGTCCATCAGCCGCACAGTCGCATGCAAACTCTCCTGCCATCACCCAAACCCTGGCCTGAGGGACAGCAGGGGCTTTGGCTTTTACAGCCACCGTTTTGCCACTGGGGCTGCAGCAGGGGCTGGAATAGGACAGGCAGCACCTGGACTGCCAGGGTGCCTTCCCCTGCGGCTGAGACAGGCAGAGGCCCTCCCACTGCCAGGGCCCCAGCTTGCCCCTCCTCACCCTCACTTCAGGGTGGGGCTACCCTTGAAGACGGTCTAGATACTTCAATTGGTTCAAAATAGAGCTGCCAGGCTGCTGACGGGGACTGGGCATTATGTTCACATGACTCCAGTCCTCCGTCAGCTTCACTGGCTTCCCATTGAAGTCCGGGCCCAATTCAAGGTGTTGGTGATGACCTATAAAGCCCTAAACGGCTTGGGTCCTGGTTACCTGAAGGAGCGCTTACATCCATACATGCCCGCCCGCCCCTTGAGATCTGTGGGAGAGGCCCTTCTCCGCGAACCCTCCGTGAAAGAAATTAGGAGGGTAGGTACTCGGAGGAGGGCTTTCTCTGCGGTGGCGCCCAATCTATGGAATGTGCTCCCCAGAGAGGTCCGCCTGGCGCCGTCGTTATTTGTTTTTCGGCGCCAGCCGAAGACCTTTTTATTTAAGCGTCATTTTAATTGTTAATATTATTTGCTTATTTTATCTGGCCAGGGCGACTTATTTTATATTGTTATTTCTTGTATTTTAACTTTATGTTGTGAGCCGCCCCGAGGCTTCGACGAATGGGGCGGCATAGAAATGTTTTAATAAATAAATAAATAAGGTTGAGGTGCAGCTCAGACCTTGAGCTGTCTGGGCCATTGCCCGATTCATTCTCCTTGGAACTCTCCAAGGATTCCCAGGAGTTGAAGAGTTTAATGGGATTTAAATGGTGTGTGTCAATATTTGTTCCTTTAATTGGATTGCAAGCCTAAATTCCTAAACCTGCTTGAATGTTATTTTTATATTTATGTCCCACCTTTTTTTCCTCCCAAGAGTCCAAGGAGGCTTACATGGCTTGCCTCCTGCTCCCTATTTTATCCTCAGAGCAGCCCTGTCAGGTAGGCTAGGTGGACTGACAGTGGCAGGCTCATGGGCCAAGTGGGGACTAGAACCCGAATCTCTCAGATTCCACTCCAACACTCCAACCCTGTGCCACTTTGGCTCTCAAAATCCTTGAAGAGCAAGATTTTGTGGGGTCCAGTGTTTGCTTGGGAGCTAGCTTTGCTTTCAGCAAGACTGCCTAGGATTCTGTAAAATTTTCATTTCTTTAGTAATTTGCTTCTCTCCCTTATTAGCAGGGTCAAGGGCATCGCCTGCTGCAGTCTGTACTGTAGCTGGGGGAGTGAGGGAGTGAAAAGGGCTTGCCAGTGACAGCGCCTTTTTGTGAACTGTGCTGGGCACGCGCACACGGATTGGCATAGCCGCCTGCACTTTTATCCTCCCCCGGGGGCGGGTTGCAGGATTCATGGGTTCTCCTACCCTTGTGCATTGCAGCGCTCCAGGGGTGGGTGTATGGGTTTTATGAAATACCCCTGTGCATTTTGCTGTGCACTGTTTTGTATTTCTCGGCTCTATGGATCTCAGGAACCGTATGTACTGTCCAAACACCTTCTTATTCTGCAGCACAAAGGGGACCCTGGGCGTATGAGCACCTTGGCATATGCAGAACATGATGCAGTTGAACTGGTGAGGCAGCTTTTCCTGGCAGGCTCAGACACAACCACCACCTCCCTCTACTGGGCGCTTCTGTACATGGTGATGTACCCTGAGATACAAGGTGAGAAGAGCCCTCTGGCGCTTCCACGGTTTCGTTATTCATCCTCCAGGGTTAAGAGAAGGCTATGGAGGTTATGAACCCGTGGCAAAAATTCAGGGTAGCTCAAGCCCTGGTGCAGGCAGGGTTGTGACACTCCAAAATTAGTCTGCTCCCTGGCCTGGTGAGGGCAGCGTTCCCCCATGAGGAATGTGATTGTGTGCATGAACAGTGGGTGAGGGAATAGTCCATGGTGTTCAGGCTAGAGCCAAATCGAAGTGGGCTGCCCCCATTGTTCTCTTTCCCCCCTCTGTGCAGCACTGGATTTCAGGCAGTTGAGGGGAGGAGCCTCTTCTTCCCTGCTCCCACCCCGTCCTAAGAGAAGAGCATCCCTGGGTTTAACAACTGGCCTCGGGAGCCTGAAACTCCCCATTGAGGATTCTTTGTTTAGTTCCGTGTGAACAGCAATTGATGTCCAAACCTGGATTCAAATTTGACTCAATGCAAAACTGCCCTGTGCAGTCTTATTTTTTTCCTCCCAAACTGTAGATGAACTTGGAGTCAAAGAATGCTTAATTTGTGTTGCTCCTGAGCCTCACTTCACTGACAAATATGCTATTCTGAGGCAGGTAGTCCTAACTTCCCCATATGTGGCTAATCCAGGTACCATGAGTGAAGATGCAACATACAACGTGCATTCAAGATCGCTTGACTGCCCATGTTCTGGTTCTTTTCTCCGGCAGAGCAAGTTCAAGAGGAGTTAGATACTGTTCTGGGCTCATCCACCAGCATCTGCTATGAGGACCGGAAAATCTTGCCCTTCACCAACGCAGTGCTCCATGAAACCCAGAGACACAGCAGCCCAAATGCGGTGGGAACTGTGCACACGTGTAGCCGGGATACGACCATTCGAGGGTTCCCTGTTAGCAAGGTGCGTTTGATAGCAGCTTGGGAGCCATTTTGACAGGGCCAGTGGGGAAGGGGCAGCTCCCCTAGGAGGGATGGGCATTTCTGTCCCTGGTCCCCTGGGGGTGTGAGGTTCCATGTCCCCGGATCTATTCCCGGGCCCCATCATCCGGCCCCCGCCCTGCATGGCTATAAGCCTTTTCAAAAGTCCTTCACGGGTGCCAAGGGAGTCTTGTCCTGGGCCCAATTGTCCTGCAAGGGGTGATTTCTGGAAGATTACATTAGGGTTATTCCTTTTCGGGGGTCTGAATAAGGAAAAGGGCCCACTGGCCTTGTCATGTGCACATTTTAAATAACTCATCGCATGTATAGAGACACTTGCATCGTGCGTCAATTAGGGTATGCACATGTTGTGTCCTGCCTCACCTCAGGCCTTTGACATGCGTCTTTCCTGTCCTCTGAAGCGGGAAGCACAACAAGCTCCAGAGCACCTTCGGGGAGTCCTACTTGCAAGCCACTTACCAGATACGTGGGTTGTGCTGAATGCCTAAGCAGGTGCTCCCCTTGCCACTGTGGGGCATCCCAGCGGGACCGGCCCGGGAAAGTGCTGGCCCGAACGGCATATCTATTGCCCAAGCCTGCTGGCTCAGCATCCCAGCATATCCTGTTCCCTGCAGGGCACCATCGTACTTCCAAACTTATTCTCTGTCCATTATGACCCTGAGAAATGGGAGACGCCACGCAGGTTCAACCCGGGTCACTTCCTGGACAAGGATGGGAACTTCGTGAACAAAGATGCTTTCCTAATCTTCATGGCAGGTATCATTAGCTTATGACTTTCAGAGTTTATATACTTACCTGTACCTTCATTCATTACAAACCTCATGATGGTTGGACTTTTTAAAAAACAGTTCAAACAATAAAAGGAGTAAACCTCTTTAGTTCCAGTACCTGACTCTTTCCAGGCATGTCCCATGATAGGTGTCTCCCCCTTCATCTTGCAGGGGTCCGCATGTGTCTGGGGGAGAAGATGGCAAGAGTCACCCTCTTCATCTCCTTTGCCACCCTCCTGAAGACATTCAGATTTCGACTGCCAGAAGGGGTGAAGGAAATAAATGTTGAACGCCTTCCGGGAATCATTGCTCAACCTCAACCATTCAAAATTTGTGCTGTTCCTCGCTAGACTATGCTTACGTTATTCCCAGCAGCCCCGGAACCTGGAAGGAAAGCTCTTGCTGCAGAGCCGCCTGGCTTGTTGTTCTTAGTATCCCTTGCTTAATGTGGCTCCACCTTTTCCCATATCCACCACATTGTGAACTAATCACTGCATACTGTGTGTTATTTGTCATGGAACCATTGGTTGTTGCTGAAATATGGGTTATCACACTGTCTAACAAATCGTGTTTGTTTGCTATGACCAGCCCGTACATCAGAACCCACCAACAGGCCAGAGGGTGTCTTCATAGATTTTCAATGGTTAACAAACCATGGGTTGTTAGTGGGGCTGAGTACAGACAGAACAATAATCCCTGGAATTCCCTGGACTTCTCTTGCCTCCCTCCTTTTCCCCCCATTGACAGCTTTCCGCAGCTTCTAGCAGCAGCCAGTGCCTTCCAGAATCTAGGAAGACATGTCTAAATTCCATCGCTTATTAGCTTGTGCTTTGGCTTTTGGCTTGGGAAGAGGGGGCCACCAGTGTTGAAACAAATGCAGTTTGTATCTGGAAGGCCCACCGTCAGGTGGACTCACATCAGCTTCTCTTTGCCTTCTCGTCAGTCACCCACACATCATATCCCAACTGGGTATTCCCAGAATCATAGAACAGTAGAGTTGGAGGGGCCACATAAGGCCATCGAGGCCAAGCCCTGGTCAGTGCAGGACTCTGAGTTGAAGCATCCCTGACAGATGGCAGCCCAGCTGTTCTTGGATGCCTCCAGTGTGGGAGAGCCCACCACCTCCCCAGGTCATTGGTCCCATTGTTGTGCACTAACAGTCAGGAAGTGCTTCCTGATGTCCAGCTGGAATCTGGCTCCCTGCCACTTGAGCCCCTTATTCTGTGCCCTGCACTCCGGGATGACTGAGAAGTGATCCTGCCTGCCTCTTTGTGGCAACTGTCCGAGTGTTTGAAAAGTACAATCTGAGCTCCCTCAGTCCTGCCATCTTGAGGCTAAGCACACCCCGTTCTTTCCATCTCTCCTTATGGGGCTTTGTTCCTACTCCCTCTTCTCTTATTGCAACTCAAAATAGCCTTTGCTTTTTAAAAGGCGCAGAACCTGATATTTTCCTTACTGAATGGCATTCAGTTGCTGCCAGCTCAGCACTCAAGGCGATCAAGATCTCTTTCAATTTTGTTTCTATCTTCCAGGGTATCCAATCAACTGTGTTGCATCTTCATGCAGTTAATGTTGCCTCTTCCTGATTATTCTGATTAGGCAGAAATCTAAATTGTACTGATGGCCACCAATTCATACCCTTAAGCCCAGGTTCTAAAACCAGCATGATACCCCACTGGGCTAGGGAATTCATCATGCATTTGTTCTTTCTATGCCATCGTTCCCATGAGGACAGGGGCATGTGTATGGGCCTTCTCCTCACCTTTGTGTCCTCACAACAGTCTGATAAGGTAGGGCCAGCTTGGTAGGGATGCCTCAGATTCTCCCGTGAAAAATGGGAATCATGTGCTGGCTGTCATCCCAGCAGAACCTCCTGGGTCAGTACTGGCAGAGGATATGCGTGTCCCATTGGGCTGCTATTTCTAAGTGTGTCCCTTTCTTGTGTGAGTGTGAGAACAAGCCCTTGCATGTCACCAAACGGGAAGCTTGTGTTGAATTCTCTGCCATGGAAGCTTACCCTGCTCCCATGTCGACACTGCCACATGCAGGCTAACAACCTTCAGGGAAAAACCAGTCCAGCTCAGGGGCCCGGTCAGAGGGTTCATTGTGCCAAGCATCCAGGCCAGTAGGGGTGTCCGAGAGAGTGGTTGGGGGTAGCCAAGATCCAGGAATCCAGAAAAGCAAAGAAAACCACCATTGGCTACAGAACACGCTACTGTCATGAGCCGAGGTTCCTCTTTCAAGCAGAAAAAAGGCCCAGACTGTTTTCCTTGCCAAACGTTCTTTATTGCTCCCAAGCTCAAATCACCCAGAACATGTACAGAACAGTTTGTTGAACCCAATCTAGTGCTTACCTCCAGGAACTCTCCTTAGGAACATGCCTGGGCCCCAACCCTTCCCCTGAAGGAAGACGTTCAGTGCCCCGGTCTAGTGAAGTCCAAGGGGCTTGCCCTTTCCCCTCATTGAAGCCTCACCAAATGGAGGGGAGGGTCTGCCAGTCAGCTCTTCCAAGTTTGTGACCAGTGCCTCTTTGACTTCATAGAATGCTTCACAACCAGCATTGGCTTGCGCCCTGTCCATGTTAGGACCAAATGGAGGAATGCTCTGCCATAATTTGGCTCTGGAAACAATGACACTGTAAGAACGGCTTCACACTTAAGGCAGGTTCCTGACCTGATCCGAAAACCCTGTTGCAAGTCTCCTACACCACGCACATCTTAGAGAGCTCAAGTACGCATGTCCCAAAAATGCTTCCTTTTGTGTCTTATGGCTTAATCTATTTGAGCCTTTTGTTTTCTCTTGTGTGCCTCTAGCAAACTGTTCAGACTTGACCTGGTAGTCCCTGCATGATGCATATGTGCTCTGTATGTCTGGATAAACTGTATGTGTTATTTTGATTGTACGTCCTCAGCAAGGGTTCACTGTGTCTTGAAACCCATCTGTGGAAGATCTTCCCATAATCCTTTGCAACCTGCAATATGGATAATTACGAGAACAATCAGGGCAATGCGAAGGCCTGAAAACATTTGGCGCTCAGGCACTCTGGGCTGCAAAAGACCACAGATTCCATCTCACGTGAGTCCCTCTGACTGCAGGCCTTCCAGATAGAACACGCATTTGCTTTGACACCAGTGCCCTCCTCTTCCCAAGCCAAAAGTCAAAGCTGAAGCTAATAAGCGATGGATTTTAGAGATGTTTTCCTAGATGCTGGAAGGCACTGAATGCTGTGAGCTTTCCTACCAGGTTCTGGGGCTGCTGGGAATAATGTAGACATAGTCTAGTGAGGAACAGCACAAATTTTGAATGGTTGTGGTTGAGCAAGGAATCCCGGAATGGTTTCCACAGTTACTTCCTTCACCCCTTCTGGCAGTCAAAATCTGAATGTCTTCAGGAGGGTGGCAAAGGAGATGAAGAGGGAGACCTCTTCAGGGGCTATCTTCTCCCCCAAACACACGCGGACCCCTGCAAGATGAAGGGGGAGACACCTATCATGGCACACGTCTGGCAAAAGTCAGAGCAGGCAGAGGACAAACTGGCTTGGGAAAGAGATGGGATGGCCAAGGCCATGATCGGGGGAGAGAAGGTGCTACTCTTGGTGAGCCACTAGTACATCCTGCCCCTGATGGGGACGCCAATTCACCTCCTTCCTGGCCCTTTCTTGCTAAGGGTGCCATTCTGCCAGTTCCTCCATGCTCACTTGGCCGCTGTGTTTTGGAAGCGCCTGAAATTCCAGGGAATTTTTTAATAGTTAAATGGTATTTTAATTATTCTAATTTTTATGTATGTACATTATTTTTATCCAGTCCTTAACAACTTACAAGTATAAGGTACTGGTACTAAGGAGGTTTAATTGTTTTAGTGTTTGAACCATTTTTTAAAATATCCAACCATCATGAGGTTTGTAATGAATGATGGTACAGGTAAGTATATAAACACTGAAAGTCATAAGCTAATGATACCTGCCATGAAGATCAGGAAAGCATATTTGTTCAAGAAGTTTCCATCCTTGTCCAGGAAGTGACCCGGGTTGAACTTGCGTGGCGTCTCCCACTCCTCAGGGTCATAATGAACAGAGAATAAGTTTGGAAGTACGATGGTGTCCTGTAGGGAACAGGATATGCTGGGATGCAGAGCCAGCAGGGTTGGGCAATAGATATGCTGTTCGGGCCAGCACTTTCCCAGGCCGGTCCCGATGGGATGCCCCACAGTGGCAAGGGGAACACCTGGTAAGGCATTCAGCACAACCCACGTATCTGGTAAGTGGCTTGCAAGTAGGACTCCCCGAAGGTGCTCTGGAGCTTGTTGTGCTTCCCGCTTCAGAGGACAGGAAAGACGCATGTCAAAGGCCTGAGGTGAGGCAGGACACAACATGTGCACACCATAATTGACACACGATGCAAGTGTCTATACTTGCCAGGAGTCATTTGAAATGTGCACATGGCAAGGCCGGTGGGCCCATTCCTCATTCAGACCCCCAAAAAGGAATAAACCCTAATGCCATCTTCCAGAAATCACCTCTTGCAGGACAATTGGGCCCAAGACAAGACTCCCTTGGCACCCGTGAAGGACTTTTGAAAAGGCTTATAGCCATGCAGGGTGGGGGCCGGATGATGGGGCCCGGGAATAGATCCGGGGACATGGAACCTCACACCCCCAGGGGACCAGGGACAGCAATGCCTGTCCCTCCTAGGGGAGCTGCCCCTTCCCCACTGGCCCCGTCAAAATGGCTCCCAAGCTGCTATCAAACGCACCTTGCTAACAGGGAACCCTCAAATAGTCTTATCCCGGCTACACGTGTGCACAGTTCCCACCGCATTTGGGCTGCTGTGTCTTTGGGTTTCATGGAGCACTGCGTTGGTGAAGGGCAAGATTTTCCGGTCCTCGTAGCAGATGCTGGTGGATGAGCCCAGAACAACATCTAACTCCTCTTGAACTTGCTCTGCCGGAGAAAAGAACCAGAACCAGAACATGGGCAGTCAAGCGATCTTGAATGCAAGTTCTGTGTTGCACCTTCACTCGTGGTACCTGGATTAGCCACATATGGGGAAGTTAGGACTACCTGCCTCAGAATAGCATATTTGTCAGTGAAGTGAGGCTCAGGAGCAACACAAATTAAGCATTCTTTGACTCCAAGTTCATCTACAGTTTGGGAGGAAAAAAATAAGACTGCACAGGGCAGTTTTGCATTGAGTCAAATTTGAGTCCAGGTTTGGACACCAATTGCTGTTCACATGGAACTAAGCAAAGAATCCTCAATGGGGCGCACTGGAGTTGTGTACAGTGGTAGTAATACCTCTCTTGATCTAGAAGCCACACTTCTGGTTATGCAACCAAGGGTGGCGTTCACCCT